TACGAACAGGCTGAGTACGTTCTCCCTACTCGACCAATGTTGTGTGCAGCCTACATGTGGGTAGATTGAGGCTGAACATTGAAATCGTGGCTGCAATTTCAGTTCACCTGTCCGTTCCACAAAACGATCTTAGATCTACTTCTATCGTAAGTCAATTTTTAAGAACTGGAATCACTTCACGCTACAACTACGATACCGTAAAGCTGCAGCAAAACGCACACTTCCTCGTTTATCCAGGATAGTAATCGCCATTCTATTAGGGTAAATACCCTGGAGTGACCTGGACGCATTCGCCACAAGGGTTTCGTTTCGGAAGTGACGTCGCCATCTCAATTTCTCGAGCACTGGATTTCTCTCGTTCCTGAGTATAATCTGATTGGACGACTATACACTCTTCAAAAAAGAAACGTACAGGTAGATTTTTTAAAAATTTATTATAATTACACCTGTGCGTTTCCTTTTTTGAAGAGTGTCTTTGGTGACTCGTCTTTAAATATGGTTCAAAACGACGCTATTGTAACGAATGGGTCCAGGGTATTCATCCTCACAGAATGGATATAATACCCTTGTTTATCGAGGATGTAACATGTTATATATCCCGTGGCAATCGGGGATCATGTCTAGTACTGTATTTACTGCAGTCTTTTTGTCCATCAAATCCCCATTTGGCTCATTCGTACTTCATAAGCAAGATACCTTAAAGATCCATGTTAGAATTGATCTTCAACAACCTATGCTTGTCGTAAGATGCGACTAGCGGGATCGGGAGGTCAGGCTCGCTGACTTGGTTGATACATGCCAACTTATCCCAATCGCGTAGATCGATGCTCATGATGTCAATCACTGGACTGTCCGGTCCAGACTCGATTATTTGCAGACCGTCGTCCTATAGCTGGAATATTGCTGAGTGCGGCGTTAAACAACACGTAAACAAAACATAAGCAAGTAAACATTGTGTCTATAGTTAAGGGGGCTAGGCTGCAGCCGATTGCCAGCCCTCTCGTTCAAACACCCTTAAAGGCTGATCCAGAGAGGGGTTAAGAGAGCTGGGTCCGCCCTTGACCCAAATGCGTATTGGGTTTTGTTTGACTCTATTTCTCTCTAACAATTCATGATTAACGTTCAATTTGATTGTGTCTGTTCATCTAACGGTTAAAGATAACGCCACTGTTATCACTTGTGACCGGAATATGAAAGAGGATGATGAAGTCAATGAGATAGATATGAGTATCGGTACAGCTGCAGAAGGTGATGCACGTGCGCCCCGGTATGCCGGATGCCCGGATGCCCGGATACAGATTGGAGAAGAGCTGACTGACACAGTTAAAATGGAAGGCCAAGCTAAGACGTTTTTTGATTCAAGTCGAAATAAATACATTGCAAGTGATTCGTTGGCATTTGATTGGATAACTAAGCAAATGTTTTTTTGTTTATGTTTTCCAAAAGCCTACACAAATTAGGCCACGCCCACTAGCGGACTACTTTCGAAGAATGCGTTTCGTTACTGCGCTGAATGATCTAATTAATTTCATATGACTGACTACACTTTTTAATGATAAAATAAGCAGTCTGTGAAGTTATTAATCTTGACTTCAATGTTATTTTCCGTTTGTGAGGGTAAAACAGGTGAGCACACTATGCACACAGTGCTCACAGTTCTACGTTCATATCGCCATAAACGCGGACAGTATTGAAATCAATTAAAATACACATTACCAATTCCAATCTTACAATGAATACCAATCCACCATTTAAAGAGTTTCCAAATACGCAGAGACAATATCGGATTCACACATGGTAATCAGCAAAACATTAAAACGTATACCTCCATGTACTGAAATTTGCATCAATGTATTTTAGGGCATGTACATTCCTTAAACTCTTTAAATGACATATAAATTATTCGGTACTAATGTGTCGCTCCTGTTAGAGAGATAAATGTCTCTACATAAACTAACATCTAGTATCTAAAATGAACATATCGTAAAGAAAAAAACAGTTGTTAAATTATCTTACTAAAAATATAATAAAAAAGAGCCCAGAGACTCTTCATTTTCAGATACTGCAATAATCTAGATTTGCCAAAGATTATAGACTTGCATGGGCTGTATTTGATATATTTGTATCATGGTCTGTAAGACAGACTAGTCTCTACACTGTGCTGCGAGTTACGTTAGTACCGGTTTGTATGCTAATAGATAGCCTTGTACGAGGTGTGTTTCCGCCCATGGTTCCTGTTGTGTGGCCGTATGTTACAAGTGTTATATATTCATATTACTGATAACAGGTAGGGTTGACATCACGGAATCACCTGTTAGGTAGGATATCCTATTTGGAGGTAACATACAGGATACATATAGTCGAGTACACGGACGTATTGTCACGGACTGGGTGCGTTCAGTGCCGGATCATAAGTGTGGGTTTAAAACCCGCAAAATCTCGTGACCTTTAAATGTAACAATTACTGCCTGCTAGTTGTAGGAATAGGCTAACGAAAAAACAATATCCATGACTGATTTAGGATCAATTTATTTATGTAAAGAATCTATCAATGTAGCCATGCAACATTTATTGCCGGCGTTCGAACGTTCGAATCCCCGCTAGAGATGTGTGAATCCCATTCTTTGTTTTGATTACTATGACCGGTTTAGGCTGGTCTTTGGAAGTGGTTGCGTTTGCGGCACAGATTCTGTTACAGATTCAGATACTGCTGCTGTTGCTACTACTACAACTACTACTACTACTACTGCCACTACCACTGCCTACACTGCTGCTGTTGCTACTACTACTTCTACTACTACTACTTTCTCAGCTATTGATAGTGAGTGAGTGAGTGAGTGAGGTGATTTTAACACCGCTTTAAACAGTATTCCAGTTATATCACGGCGTCTGATATTATTGTGGGAGGGGGCGCCTCGTTGGTCTATTGTTGGAGCGTCCGCCCGGAGAGCGGAAGGTAAGTGGTTAGATCCCCGGCCGTGTCATACCAAAAGACGTTAAAAGGTGGTAGTTGTTGTAACCCTGTCTGGCGCTCGGCATTAAGGGGCTAAAACAAGGACTGGTCGGCTCGGATACAGTATACTGTGTCCGAGTGGGGTATTCATGTTAAACTGCGACATGGTATCTCAGTGGGCTAGCACTATAAAATCGGCATTAGTCCGGACTAGTACAAGCAGCCACACACACACTTGCATGCTCGCCTCTATAAGTACAATAATCTTTAACCCGACGTTAAAACCCATTTCACCTCACCTGAAAAGGGAGAAAAGCCCGAAGTGATGTAGGTATCAGACGTTTACCACTTTGGTGAAACCCATTAGCACGGATATGATGCTGACAAACCCGGGGCGCACCAGGGTTTGGACCCACAATCATAGGTTCCTGGCGTGCCCAATGGACGCAACTCTTACACGGCTGTGCCACATCTTCCCACCAGCTACTGATAACACTAGGCTCGTACGCCCGACCCATGGATTCACTCATTTAGGCCAGTGACGAACCCGTTAGACAGTTGAATCTGCCGTATGACATAGTCCGATGTTAACGTGAAGCGACAAGGAAATCAAAAGTGAGACATTCTATGTCCATCACGTCCTCCTCCTCCCCCAGACGTGTATTTGTATATTTTGATTTTTGATTTCACTGTAACTAACATCCTCGATTGTGCCGCGCATGATATTTTCCTTCTATTATGAAACATTTATCATACCAGGATGGATATATAATTCCCTGGATCACCGAGGATGTAGGCTATGGGCAGAAGTAACAAGTGATCATGCTCTTTTCTCACGTTGTGTTTGAAAACACAAGTTTCTTTGTTTGTGTTACGTCATTTGACGCGTGCTGGCGTTAAACAGGGATGAAGCGAACCCCAAAGGTTTTCTACAGATCTGCGTCATTTACTGAATATTCAAACAAAATAAAGTTGAAAATTCAAATATGCCTAAACATTTGTGTTGTTTACATGCACAAGTTGAAATTTCTACTTACTTTCACTACCAAGTACAGATGTAAATCTTTTTCTGTTTGTTTGTTCTTTAACGCCGCACTCAGCAATGCTTGACATCATGAGCATCGATCTACGCAATAAGAAAAACGATGGCATGCAATCAACCAAGTCACCGAGACTGATCACCCGATTCATTTAGTCGCCTCGTACGACAAGCATGGGTTGTTGGGAACAATACATACGTCTTCCACATTATGGACAATCGTAATGTTACTAATAATATACACTATTGTATAATGAAGATGTTGCAACCCTATGTTTTGTAACCATAAATTATAAAATAAAATAAAACATGTTAAATATATATTGGTATCAAATAGGGGGTAAACCACCAGACCCGTGAAGATCCGGGGCAGAATAGGTCTTCAGCATCCCATGCGACTATGCTTGTCGTAAGGGGCGACTAACCGGATCGGGTGGTCAGTCTCGCTGACTTCATTGATGCATGTCAACGCATACCAATTGCGTGGATCGATGCTCATGATGTCAATCTCTGGATTGTCTGGTCCAGACTCGATAAGACTAGATTATTTACAGACCACGGTCATACAGCTGGAATATTGTTGAGTGTGGCGTTAAAACCCACAAAAACCCACAACAACCAGATATTAATTTCTATGCATGTTTCGGGAAGGATGAGCTGCAGTTAACACTGGCACAGGGGGGCACGGGTGGCCCAGTCGTCTAAGGCGCCGCAAATCGCTGTGCAGAGTTGCGTCCCTTTGGCATGCCAGAAACCTATGATTGTGGGTTCGAATCCCGGTTCTCCCCGATTATATTTCTATGTTTGTCAGCACCATACCCGTGCTCGTGGGTTTCACCGAAGTGGTAAACGTCTGAGACCTGCATCACTTTCCTCCAACATTAAGCTGACACACCGCGATATAACTGTAATACTGTTAAAAGCGGCGTTAAAACCCAACTCACTCACTAACACTGGCACATGATTGTCATGTCTTTGGGAATGAGAAAGCTGGGATCAGGGCGCAGAACAAGGTACCTAGTGGCATTGGCATGAGAGCATTTGTGTTTACGTGTTCGGGAAGGCGTGTACAGTGAGTTATCTTGACAAGGGAGTACACCAAAATATACACCCTGTCTTGACACAACACCGGAAGTCATCGGGATCACGATGTCGTCAGCTAATCTACTCCGTAAGTTATTGTTTTTGTTTCCAATAAAAAAAAAACTAACGTCAGATCTTACGTTCTTCAAACTTTAATACCATAACACGTAACCTAGTTTAGACGTGAATATATATACAGGTCCTAAATCAAAAGTTTTGTTTGATCATAACGAGGTGTTGATGTCCTTATGACGTCAAACGGCGATCAACCAGCGTTTGATTTGATCCCATATCTTATCCCCTTTGCCCTGGTCACGTGTTGAAATACGTGTTCCCTTGATACAAGTTAGTAGACAGGAACCAAGTCTCTAATCAAGACACCGCTTTCAACATTGTCTCTACTCTCCGACCCAGCCAGGTCTAGTGCTCTACGACATCCTACTCTCTAACCCTATCCGTGATACTCTCTGGTTCACTTGTGTGCCTTAGAGGCCTATCTATATGGCTTAGGAGCGTTGCGGGTAAAATCCATGAGGATTAGCAGGGACTTGGCATTCGACCTACCAATTATCAATGTTGGGCTCCGTTTTTATCATCACGCTTTCAGCAGCAAGGTCGAGATGAATGGCAAGTCTCGTTATCTCCCATGCGACCAGACGAGACTGGAGTGTTTGCGTAGCGGGATGGCGTGATAAAGTCGTTATCTGCCAGTTATGTAGGTATCTGTTGAGTGACCGAGAGGTTTGAGTGGTATGTAGGTGAATGTTTCGGTATACATGAGAATATACAGTAGCGACTCATAAGCAGTCGGCGCGTTGGGGAGTCCAACATTCGTGACCAACTCGTGTTATTCCGGGACAACCCGAATAGCGACTCGTGCCCCTCCGGTCTTTTTGCGACCGGGCTCCGCCTTAGCGCAAACGGGCATACCTAAAACAAATGTCAACTCGTTGCGTAATGGTTCACATATATTTCCCCATATAATATATATATTTCAGATGCAATTTAAAGCACATCGGGGCATGCGGAATTATAGTCAATCTCATTAAAATAAGATCTTTGTTTTGTTTAGCGGTAGCGAGAACTGAGGTCTGATTTTAATGAGATTGAATTATGGTAAACCTAATAAGGTTTTGATAACGTTTGTAAAGTTTTGGTCAAATCCAATTTTCAAATGTATATTTTCTTTTGCCTGGCAATTTATTTCAGAAGTATTGTATATGAGGGATATGGAAAAACGGACCTAGATGGAGGTTGGAACGAAGATCGAACTGTCTTATTTTCGTCACTGCATTTGTAACAGAACTAGTTTTGTTACCCATTTTATAATTAAAATTCCACATACGTGTTTTTGGCATTGTTCCTGCAATTGCAGCCAAGACCCCAATAGTGGATGGAGGCGGCGGGCGTAACGCGTGTCGTGCGTGTCAGAGATCAAGTCAGTACGGACGTGTCCTAACACTGTCACTGCCAAACACATGGAACACACAAACTATTTACCATGGATCATCACTTCGCCAATACATCCTGGCGGACAAACCAGTCGCAATGTACGTGTTACATTCGAGGTTTCAATCGTCTTAATGTAATTCTTGGGTTAAGACAGCTCATATTATTACAGTAAACTACGGTTATAACGAACTGACGGATATAACGAACTTACTTTTTTGGTCCCGACGACTTGCTGTAGTTATGCTGTATATGTGCTTATAACGAACTACGGTTATAACGAACTAAAATTAGTAGTCCCTTTGAGTTCGTTATAACCGTAGTTTACTGTATATTGTCGAATGTCTGTCTCGTGATGTCCATGTGCAGCTTTTATTTACAATGACATTGCATTGCAAGTATTGCTGTCTCTCTGAATGACTTCGCGTAAAGTTATATCTATATTTATCTGTGCATGGCTTCAGTTTTTTGGTATTGGAACATGAAAGAAACATGTAAAAATGTTTTTGGAGTCTCGGATAAACCAGACAGTAGTTATGCCTCATATGTATTAAACTACACTTCCGGTCATAAGAAAAGGTACACATATGATCACCCATGTAAGATGATTGCTAAGCATTAAACAAACAAGAAACGGTTATTCGATGGGGTAGGGTTATCATTGTTCCGCACTATTCCAACTATATGACGACGGTCTGTAAATAATCGAGACTGGACCAGACAATCTAGTGATTGACATCATGAGCATCGATCTACGCAATTGGTATACGATGACATGCATCAACCAAGTCAGCGAGCCTGACCACCCGACGCCTTCAGTCGCTTCTTACCTCATGGGCTGCTGGGGCGGTCGGGTAGCCTACTGGTTAAAGCGTTCGCTCGTCACGCCGAAGACCCGGGTTCGATTCCCGACATGGGTACAATGTGTGAAGCCCATTTCTGGTGTCCCCCGCCGTGATATTGCTGAAATATTGCTAAAAGCGGCGTAAAACCCTACTCACTCACTCACTCATGGGCTGCTGAAAACTAACCCACATCTTCACGTGGGGCCTATGCTTCTCGTGAGATGCGACTACACTGCCCTTGTTGACTGTGTGTGGCTTATACGTTTCACATCGTCATCAATCACTGGTTTGTCTGGGAGAGAGTCGTACATGTGCGAGCTGTCAAATAGCTTGAATATATGCGTCGTTAAACTAAAACACTTGCGAAATAACAATAAGAAATAACAAAATATCATTCTTTTAAATGTAACGTGATTCGTAAGTCCCATCTCGTTTCAAGGTTATATTTTGCTCTATAAAGTATATAAAGCTATATACATCTAGTATTGACTTCCAAACAAGAAATCTCATTGTTATGAGAACGGCCTCAGTTCTCACGCATGTGACGCCCATGCAGGCATATAAAACATTCCTCAAATGGTCATCCGCACCTCCAACGTAGACCCTCCCACAGCCGCCGACGTGGCAGTCTCGCAGGTAGCCTTGCTCCAAGTCTTTACATAATGATAAATACATGGATGAATACGTACTCTATCCTTATAATAGGCAAGTCCGGATAAACGGACAATCTAACACGATAGTCTTTTTTAGGGTCAGTTTGTTCTTATTATTTTATAATGTAGGAACTATGATTTAAACTTAAAATCGTAGCCTCAGAGACTTGTGCGAGTCTATCTCGCAGGGTCAGCCGTGGATGTTTATGGCGTGAGAATTAAATGGCAGTCGCCCAACTGGACAATAAAGTTAAATATTTATGACGCCCGTGGAGTGCTTTCCGACCCTCCCTGGATTACACACCTATATATGTAAATGTTAAAACTATTTACGGCTTACTTAATTGATCATAAGGCCCCGTATCGCCTGAATTTGTTACCACGGCTCGTAATGAGATTGTAAAAGTTGAATTCAATAGTAAAATGCGGAGTTTATTCTGTTAAATTTGTAGCTTTTATTGCTTCCTATGCCAAACCTTCTTAAAACATAGGAGCTTTAGCATGAACTGCTTTTATAGAGTTAATTTCTATTTAATCGTATAAACTGCCGGGTAAAATCCATGTTTGATATTGGCTAAACATGAAACAAACGAGACATGTTTATTCCGCGGATGTATTTGATACGGGTATTTCAGGCGATATCTGATAACGTTTGTCATTTTTTTGGTCGAATCAACTTTTCAGGTGTATACCTTTTTTTGGCCCGGCAGTATATTTTGAACAATCAGAAACTGCTTTTTTGGCATTTGGATTGAATCGAAATGTATTTAACCAGAAATGTTCGTGTTTAACACTATTTTGATCCTTCTAATGCGATAAACCAAAGAAAGCATGTCACTGAATGGTCATCGTAACATGTTTAGATGGTAAAATGTAATGCAATGTACAAAAATGGATGTAACATAGCCTGTCTCACAGTCTATGAACCATATTAGTTTCCTTTCGCCCAGCCTTACTGTAATGCTATAGCCCTAACTAAAGCAAGTCTAGATTTTCCACAGGTTCAGGTTCCTTGGATACACTGTGTATGTGTGTGCGTGCGTGCGTGCGTGCGTGCGTGTGTGTGTGTGTGCACCTTTCTCTTATAGCATTCAGAAACACACACAACTTACACACACGCCCATGAGTAAACCTTTCTCCTTTGTGCTTTTTTAACATTCATTTTATAGGATTTTAAATATTCGTGTCTTTTCTTACTAAATAATTCTTTATACTCCTCTGTCCTGTTTTTAGGCTTATGCATGATATTTGACTGAAGTTTCGACACATTTATTATGGCTCCTGATATTTTTAGAAACGTTGCAGTCTGTATATTCTCAAATTGAATCACGGTGAAATTTATGGTGTAGGGTCTAACACTATTCAGTCGCTTTAAAGTCATGTTTAAACCATCCCGGTGTCATCCTATATGAAAGTACATGATATCAACCACCAGGTTGTTGTACCTGAATTAGATATGAGTTGAGATACGATGGGTGACTGACAAGTTCTGAGCCTAACAATGGTGGACTGCATTGGTGGAGTTGGTAGTCAATTACTTTTCAACGTAATCCTCTCCGAGGTAAACATAAGTTTACCAACGATACTGGAGTGCCTGGGCCCCGTTCCTCAAAGCGATCTTAGCGCTACGATGATCGTAAGCCTATGTTAAAGTATGGGACTTACGATCACCTTAGTGCTAAGATCGCTTTGAGGAACGGGGCCCTAGATCCTGCGGGTGTAGAAGGACAGACAGACAGACAGTATATTCAGTATGCAAGGCCATATGGCCCATAGTACAGTTCAGTTTTAACAGATACATAAAAATCAACGTGATCTTGAACTTAGTATAATATATTCACCTGAGTCTAAATACATGTTTCAAATACATTGCTAAAGATTTGATAACTATTTCATTGTTCGAATTCAACAAATTGATCATCAATTGATTGTCTTTGTGTGTAAAATCTAAATTAGGTAGAAACTTTAATCTCAACGTTTTATATTTTTTACAAATAAAAAGAACATGGAACTCGTCTTCAATCTCCTGGCTGGTACAGTCAGAACATGTACAATTTTTAAAATCACTATCCTTGGTTCTACGATATTTATTGACAAGGAAGTTATGGAGAGATATTCTAAATTTACAAAGAGCTCTCAATTGAGTTTTATCTTGTAATATGCTTAAATATTTTTCTGGTTGTAACAATGATTTAATATCAAAGTGTGAAGAGGAAACTTCCTGATGGTGTAAAAAGTCTTCCAAATACTGATGATGTCATCAGTTCTTGGGTGGTGGGCTAGTGGTTAAAAGAGACGCTCGTAAAGCCGAAGGCCTGGTCGATTCCCCACATTGGTACAATGTGATGTGTGAAGCCCATTTCTGGTGCAGCCTGTTAGCATGGAAAGTATTGTACTTTATACATGGTAAATGTCAAGGGTGCACCACACAGCCTTAGTAGTCGGTACCAAAAGACGTTAAAAGATGGTACTTGTTGTTACCCTGTCTGGCGCTCGGCATTAATGGGCTAAAACAAGGACTGGTCGGCTCGGAGTCAGTATACTGTGTCTGAGTGGGGTATTCATGTTAAACTGTGACATGGTATCTCAGTGGGCTAGCACTATAAATCGGCATCAGTCCGGACTAGTACAAGCAGCCACACACACACATGTGCACACACATGCATGCACGTCGCTATATAAGTGTAATAATCTTGGACGCGACGTTAAACCCAATTTCAACTCTCCTCACCTTAGTAGTTGGGAACTTTTCAGCCACCCACGTAACTATTACAGGACCACTCTTCCCCTCAACCAGGACATACCTTTCTTGTCAATTTTACTAGTTTCTGTTATCAGAATCAATTTCAGTCAGTCACGAATAGAAAGTGACGTAATCACGCTCACACGTTCACTTTAGTCAAAGGGTATTCCTGTGTGCAAAAGCTACTTCCTGAACTGTGTGTTTGTTTCGTATGGGCGGCTTACAACAAAAAGGATTTGAAATCAGTCTTTATGAGGATTGAATTGATCAACATTCAGTATTTCCTGCATGGTAACGCGGAAATGGGATCAACTGATAATAAAATAATATTTTTAGAAATGTACTAGTCTTGTGTCTTTTGTCTAGGGATAGGGGAAGTTATGATTGAAAAACCCAAACCATTTGTTGATTTTAACCCATTTTCCCAATCTCTTCCACGCGTTTGGAAAAACTACTTAAACTCCGCTATTTTACAGTGACCGTGATTTTCTTGTTCTCGGTTATTGATATTTTGTATGTTGAGGAACAGATAATATAAAAAACGGACATTCGACGCTAATGTTTCTGTTATTTTAACAATAAAAACTGTTTTTCAAGATAAAACGATTAAAACGTATAAAAAGTATTAAAACTTATTGAAATTTATTATC